GAAAATCAAGATATTTGTTCTTGGTTTCAATCATGTGCTATCTTCAAATTTATTTGAAAGGTTTTGGGATGATGACAATGACTGGTTCTTGCAGAGGGTGTGACAACACCAAGCAGGTGATAAATGGTCACACTGGGGTCCACAATGATAAACCATCCCCCAATTTGTGGTTTATGAGCGGGTATAAACCCCACAAGACGAGGAATTTCATAGCCCCCTTTTTTTAGTGTTGATACTTGCGGACGTTCTTTTAATTTGCAGATCCCACTTGGGTTGGTTTTTCCAGGGGATCCGAATGCAAACCATGATTTCTCCCCACAAAGAAATGTGGACTTCGCAAGTCTATTCACTCACTGGGAACAATCCCTGGCTGTGCCAAAAGGGCTCAGAAGCTGCAGGACCGACACGCGCCACTCACTGGAAGTGGAAAACGGTGAAACCATGAGAGTTGATGGTTTGTTTGAATACATGGGATACCCTTGTTTGATCATCAAACATGGCAATAGGAAATCCTGGATAGATGGTGTTTGGAAAAGCATCCATTAATTGATGGATTTTCCATTGCCATGTTTGATTACCAGAGAATACATGATGTTGGATACGAATTGTCCCTAACATCTGAATGTCACATTGAATTGAAAACCATAGCCCTGGCAAATAACAATGTGTTCTCTAGGCGCTACACCACCAAGAATCGAGCAATGACAGAACTGACGAAATGCCATGGGCCAAAAATCGGAAAGAAAGTCCATCAGAAAGTATCCAAAGCCCACCACTGAACACCATCAACTGTTGTTCAAACAATTTTTACCTAGCGACTGTACAATGCATCCAACCGCTCTTGTCACTCCAACCCAAACAATAGACCTCAATAGTTTGACGGGTCTTGACTCATGTTCACACAAAAAAAGTTATCCTCCCGACACAGACTTTGGATGAAAGATGTTGTTCTCAGTCGGAAAGTAGCCAACATTGCGACCCGAGAACCCTCGCCCAACCTAAAAACGGTATGAGCCCCATGGAACCCCATGAGCTTATTGTAATTCCTCAACGAGAAGCCTTCAAATATCCATCGAATAACCCCTAGACATGGCAGATAGATTGATGATTGGATATCAGGCATGACGAAACCCCGAAGGGGTTAATATATAACTCCCTCAATCAATAATTGTTTAAAAAGTAACTCGAGACATATACCAACTAGATTGGATACATATTTGTACATATATAATTATATATATAATTGTATATATGTGTGCGTGTATGTATGCATATCCGTTTATTGATCATGTTCAATAGGTATCTCTAGTTCCTACAAATAGATTAGATGTTCCCAAAAAGAAAGATATCTTATCCAATATTTACATAGGAAAATTTACGGCCGGATATCCAAGCTAGTGGTACCATTATCCGCATGTTGACTATATCATATCTAGTATCCAATGAAATTAGATATACACATCTAGATATAATTAGATATGATATATACTAGTGGAATATTTACATATTTTCAGAAATATCTACTAATTATTTTCTATGTATGTGTATATATACATATGATATATGAGATATATTGTATATAAACCAATATTTATAGATGATATATCCAATCCATGGATATTGCATATAGATATATCAATTATGGATTCCATGGATGATTTATAATGGATATTATACATATATATATAGATTTAATCCCATAGATATATAGATACATGGATGATATATACATATCTATCATATACCAGATATCTTTACATATCTGTAATATAGATATCCAGATATATAATATACCAATAGTGTAGTGTAATATACCAGATATTTACATATCTATACCAGATATATATACATATGATATATACCAGATATCATATACCAGATGATATAAAGATACATGGATGATACATATATATATAATATATATATACCAATAGTGTAGTGTAATATACCAGATAAATACATATCTATACCAGATATCATATACCAGATGTCATATACCAGATGATGTATAGATACATGGATGATATATAATATATATACCAATCGTGTAGTGTAATATACCAGATACATATCTATACCAGATATATATATATACATATGATATATACCAGATATCATATACCAGATGTCATATACCAGATGATGTATAGATAGATACATGATTTATATATATAATATATATACCAATAGTGTAGTGTAATATACCAGATAAATACATTTCTTTACCAGATATATATATATATACATATGTTATATACCAGATATCATTTACCAGATGTCATATACCAGATGATGTATAGATACATGGATGATATATATATACCAATAGTGTAGTGTAATATACCAGATAAATACATTTCTATACCAGCTATATATATATATACATATGATATATACCAGATATCATATACCAGATGTCATATACCAGATGATGTATAGATACATGGATGATATATATATAATATATATACCAATAGTGTAGTGTAATATACCAGATAAATACATATCTATACCAGATATACATATATATACATATGATATATACCAGATATCATATACCAGATGTCATATACCAGATGATGTATAGATACATGGATGATTTATATACATATTAAATATATATATATACCAATAGTGTAGTGTAATATACCAGATAAATACATTTCTATACCAGATATATAATTATATTTATATACATATGATATTTACCAGAAATCATATACCAGATATCATATACCAGATGTCATATACCAGATGATGTATAGATACATGGATGATATATATATAATATATATACCAATAGTGTAGTGTAATATACCAGATAAATACATTTCTATACCAGATATATAATTATATTTATATACATATGATATTTACCAGAAATCATATACCAGATATCATATACCAGATGTCATATACCAGATGATGTATAGATACATGGATGATATATAATATATATATATATACCAATAGTGTAGTGTAATATACCAGATAAATACATTTCTAAACCAGATATATATATATATATATACATATGTTATATACCAGATATTATATACCAGATGTCATATACCAGATGATGTATAGATACATGGATGATATATATATATATATAATATATATATATATACCAATAGTGTAGTGTAATCTACCAGATAAATACATTTCTATACCAGATATAAATATATATATACATATGTTATATACCAGATATCATATACCAGATGTCATATACCAGATGATGTATAGATACATGGATGATATATATATATATTATATTTATATACCAATAGTGTAGTGTAATATACCAGATAAGTACATTTCTATACCAGATATATATATATACATATGTTATATACCAGATATCATTTACCAGATGTCATATACCAGATGATGTATAGATACATGGATGATATATATATATATAATATATATATATACCAATAGTGTAGTGTAATATACCAGATATATACATTTCTATACCAGATATATATATATATATACATATGTTATATACCAGATATCATATACCAGATGTCATACACCAGATGATGTATAGATACATGGATGATATATATATACCATTATAAAGATATACCAATTGTATCCATGGATTCGCCAAGGACCTGGCGCGCAGCGCCGCGGAGGCTCCACGCATGGGTGGCCTGGCCTTGGTGAAGTCCGGCGACGAAGTGCTCAGGCGCCGGAACGGAACGGAACGGAACGGGAGAACCAAAAGGAACAGAAAATGGTCGAAATGTCGAGGTTATGGGTGATTTATGGCTGATTTAGGCTGATTTATGCTGATTTATGGCTGATTTATGGCTGATTTATGAGTTTTCTGTTCGCTTTTTTGGTTGAATTGTTTTTGTTTGGGCGATGTTTACGGATTTGGGATTGTTGAAGCGGTGTGTGCTGATGCGTGATGGAGGTAGAGAGGCCAAGGGTATGAGTCTAGGCCAAAGGATAGATGGTTGATGAACCAGCAACAAAAGGGATTGAATCTCACCAAAATCAGGATGTACCCAAACATATTGGTGTCGAATATTGACTGACTGTTTATTTTTTGAAATGTTGGTGGAAGAAAATAGTATTTTTCTTTGTCACCTTAGGTTCAACGACCCATAGAGTTTTAAAAGATGATCAGATACTGATATGTACATGATGTCTGTGGGATAAGTGAGCGATATTCCATGAAATATTCCATGTAGAAGGCGTTATATTTGTGAAAGATTTTTGGTGATTTTGAGGGTTCTCAGCCAATCATTTTTTTCTTATATATAATCGGCCGATTGTGTGCAATTGGTCGCGAATTTCAATCCTGAAGGAACATGTGCTGATGACTTTTTGCACTGGGGGCCACCCAAATACCCGTTTTTGGATCGTGGATGTCCTTTTCCCACTGGCTGTTTGGTTCTTCGCGATCCATAATAAAAATAGGTACATGATCGCATATGTTGTTTGCCACTCACAACCCAAACATGTGTTTTTCCCATTTGAGGACATCATTGGCATTCACTAGTTATGCCTGCATGATTTTCCCATTATTGGACCATAAATCTCCTACAAGCGCACCTGAGTAAAAGGTTCAAAATATTTCATGTTTCCCACCAGAATGGTTTGACAACTCCTATCGACCCCATATTCGTTTGCTATTTTTGGCTGTATCCCATTATAAACCAGTATGATTCCCTATATTTAGCCCACAATATCCTGAGTTTATCCTCCCTTCATCCGATGATGTTGTCTCATTATTTCCCAATTAAACCTCATGAAATTCCCAGGAGTGGCCTTTCATGCGCTAAAGTAGTAAGCCTGGTAAGCCGAATGTATACCATTGGATATCGCAGCATTTTCCGACCCATGAAAATTCCCATGAAACTCCCTGGAAATTCCCTGCTACAGAGATCTCAAAATTTCGGGCACGCCAGGCGCCTGGGAATCACCAATGATTTCGAAGCCTCCACCGATTGGCTCCTAAGGACTGGAGACTTTGGGTAGCGGTGTCATCCATGGCTAGGCAATCCCGTAAATGGAAGTTTCAATGGAGGTTTGCGGCTTGCGGAAATCATTGAACTAAATCAGGGATTTTCCAGCACATGTTTCATTGCTGGATGGTGTATTTAGTGTATTTCTCAGTCTGTTGGACGCATTTAAGATGTCTGCAATCACGTGTATGGTCGGCAAATATTTAAGTTTAGAGATGTAGATGCATGCCCAACACAGAGAGAGAGAGATGCGTATGAATATAGACATAGATCGGTAATTATAAAAATGTATCCATGTTCCCGCTGTGATTGAAATATGTCCAACCATCAGGGGCGTTTTATGAGTGAAGCTGAGATGACCATTTCTTTCAGGTTTTCCGCATCCAGAATTGGGAATTTGCTTTTAGATGATACCAAGAGTTTGATAGATATGTTTTTCAATTGGTGCCTTACAAACATTTTTTGAACAATCAGTTGGTGTTTGGAAGTAGTCATGCATTTCGATTTTTTGGGGTGTTCTTGCGATTGGTGGGGATTTACCCTGCATCCCGCCACGAGTCTTTTTTGCCGGGTAAATCCCACATGCTTACTTCAGTTGCCAAAAGTTCATGGAACTTATTGATAATACATCATATACCCATGGTTTTATCATGATTTATCATCGATTTTTTCCCCATTAAAAGTTCCATTTTTTTTCGCAGGGTAACGGACCAGACTCTAGGCTCTCAGCCTTGCATCTCTTTATTGCAGCCGTGGCTCTCGCGGCTCAGCCACAGGTCGTGGGTTTGATGCCAAAGAAATGGCATTGCAACGGCTGCAATGTTGGTGAGTATGAGTATCAGATGGATTTTATATATGGATTTTATCAGATGTCGGTCCGCAGCAAATGGACGCGTCTTATTTTGTCTTAAGCCTTAAGCTATCCAGACCCCAGCTGTGCACCTGGATCCCTGACAGGTGGCACAGCTGGAGGTGAATCACGACTGAGACGCTGTCAAAAGTTGAAGCTCCAGGGTCGTGAACAGAGGAACAGCAAGGGATTAAAGATGGTGCAACCAAACAGGGTGATTTCTTGTAGCTGCTACAGATGCGGATGACTAGTTATATAATTGATCAAGAGTCTTGTCGCCAGGGTTTTTTTCAATAGTTGCAAGCTGCAAGGCACATCCAAGTGTGACCCATGGGGAAGCACGATGGCAACAAATGGAGATGCAACCTTTTTCCAACACCATGTCAGATTCCAAAATCCTATAATCCTCAACTTCCTCCAAATCTAGGTCCCAATAACAGGCGTTTTTAAGAGATCACCCCTGATCACCCCATCCTCAACTGCCTGAAATCCCAAGGCACCCATGGGATGATCCTTAAAAATTTCAGGAGCATCTGTTTCGGATCTTGCAAAAGCTGGTAACAAATGGTAACAATGATTCTGTTTATCCATGTTTATCCATGTGTTCAATCTCTTTGGAATGGAGTAATCCATAGTTACTATAGTTAAATCCCATCCAAATAGCCATCTTAAATCCATCCTAAGCAGCTATGTTAAACCCAATAGCTATTTATTTATCCCACATTAAATCCATGTTTTCCACGATGATTTTGGCTCCACCGTTTTTCGAGGCGGTGATCATGGAAGTGGCCTCCAAGCTTCCCATTGAACGGGCCGAACGCATCGCCAAGGTGGGACCAGCTAGGAATTGAACCAGTTGAAAGGGAGAAGTCATCATAATCAATCAGCAAGCACTAAAATTCAACATGGTTAAACCAAAAAGCATTGGATTTCACTAGGATTTAATTTTGGACCAAGAACCCTTTGCTGAAAAACGTGGAGATCACACAGACGATGAGGACATTTTCCTTGAGTTTCACAAGGATGGTGGACTCAGCAGTTCTGATTATCCCCTTTTCAACCAACGAGTACAGCCAGAAGAAAGCCCAGAGTGTGGTTTTGGACACCATGATTTTTTATTTCTCAAGAAGTGTGTTGAACCTGAGCCTTACCGACCTTAGATAGACCAGTTGAGGCAGTAAGAAATCTCCTGTCTCTTCCAATTTAAAGCCACAGGCTTCAACCATGGTGCCCCCGTGCAGGTCTTTGAGCGTGTGGATGAAAACCACGATGGAGGCATTTCTTTGGAGGCGCTCTGGAGGTTCGTGATGCTCGGGCCCAAAGACTAAGGGCTTTCTTAAGGGTATCATTTTGAACTCCAAGGTTCCGTTTCCATTATGATGTTCTGGAACATGCAATCCAGTTGCCTACACTTGCCACGACTGCCACTACTTGGGTTTTTCGGGGTTAGCCAACCGCAGATCCCAAAAAAACAATCCCTTCGTCACAAGGAGCTACAGCGACTGTTTGTCAGCATGGGTCTCAAGGAGCTGGAGAAGTTGGGTGAGATGTGGAGATGGTTTCTCTGTCATTGTTGGGTGTTTCCATGTTTTCCAGATTGTTTTAATGGAATAATTATTTGAGAATATATGATGATTATAATTATATTCAATGTTTTTTAATGATAATTGTGATGTTTGATGGCCAATTTGGATTTCAAGACCTCCAACAGCCCAAAGGACAGCCCTGCAGGACAAAGCTCTTCATGCCAAAGCCTTTGAGACGTGCTGAGCCCAGCTGAGCCCAGTCCTGTGCTGAACTCTATCAGGACTTGGGTTCTTATGGGATCCCCAGTCGTCACCATGTTGGTTTACTAAGTCATGGGCATCCAATAATGATAATGATATATTCTTTTTTGGTCAATTAGTCAATAGTCATATAATTATATGGTCCATTATCATATACAATTTATTGACTAATGGTCATGTCCATAAAAAAGGGCCATTCGTTATCGACATGAGTTTTCCCCAGGACAAATCCCAAGGCTTGACATCAACGGAGACGGCGTTCTCAGCTTCAGCGAGTTCGCTGCCGGTGTCCTGTAGGGACGGCCCAGGGGAGCGGCAAATGTTTCGATGTTTTTCCATGGTTTCAACGGAGGTGTTTCATGGGAAAAATTGGAAAAACATGGGAAACTTCACGGGGAAAACATCTGGGAAAACCATGGGAAACTCATCATGCCATCCACGAACTCGGAGGGGGAAAATCATTGGACTCGGATCCGGCCACGTTGGATGGGTATGTGTTGATCATGGTGATGTTCTCCATTTTGAACATGGCTTTTGGATGGTTTTTGGTCACCAATTCATAGGTCATAGGGATGATTCTCCATTTTGTTTTGGAGCGACAGTTTGGAGTTTGTAGGGATGATTGCACGAAGCAGGTCATTCTTAGGGCCACTTGAATCAAATTTTCATGCACCATTGCTTGCCCCAACTTGATCATGTTCCTGAAGCAAAGTCCATCCAAAATGAACCGATCTTGCTGGACAATCACCTGTTTATAGATGATCTTCCATCCGAAATCAAAAAAATAGCGATTTCCCCGAGGCTATCCAGGGTCCCAACAAGTCCGTCGTCATCAGCCGCCCAGGACTGTCTTTTCGGACCTTCTGGAGGACCACGGTTTCAAAAACCCTCGCGCTGATTTCAAGGGGTTGCAGTTATTGGGAATCCTCATGGTCCTCTTTTTGGGAATCCCATTAGATTATTTTTGACGCCCTTGGTAAACGGCATTCTGCCACTCAGCTACTTTAGTTCTGACTTGGTTCCTTCATGACACATTCTATGTCAAATTCGTCTGAAATTAATTCATCCATGCTCATTCATTTTGAGGATACCATTCCGCTTTGCATCCAGTTTCATACATTTCATCCATGTTTCATTTCATACATTTCATACAATTCATCCAGTTTCAATGATGGCACCATCGGCGTGGCAATGGCTATGGCCCCAGGAGCGTTTTCTGGAACTCTTCCGCCGCCACGACTTGGACAGCGATGGCAGGCGCGCTTTTTTCGCTGGGCTGAAGTCAAAAAATTGGACGATGATATCAAATATGTATGTACATATGTATAGGTAGGTGATTCATGGTGATTCTATCGAATCCTGATGCTGATGGATATGTATATATATATATATATGTAGTATGGTAGCTTTGGTCCTAGCTTATGGGCATACATGGGAATCATCCTTAATTTGTGGTGCTGCTGACGGTTTCGATGGGGCGTCGCAGGTTAAGCCGGAGCGAGCTGGAGGTTTTCTTGGAAAAGGCGCAACATGAACCTTGACGTGCGCAGATGCTATCATTAAATTCCAATCAAAATATCTTCGTGGATTTCATGTTGGTGTCAAAAAAGATCAGGACGCCCCAAGTTGGGTTATTTCCCGTCAAGTAAAGCCATCAAGTCTCTCAGCCTCCAGTTGTGTGCAGGTACTCCCATTGGCCAATCGTTCGGTGCAACAAAGCCCGGCGTTGCACTCAGATGACGGCGTCCACCGCCTCCAAAATGCCACGGAAAGAACTTGTCGATAACATACCCTGCGGTAGTTTCACATTGTGAAAAATCTCTGTTTATAGAGGATGTTCCTATTATTAGAGGTGATTGTCCGTAGCTATGTTAAATTAACGGAAGCTATTCTTGGATATTTTACGGGACGACGTTGACCACGCAACTCGCTCCATGGAAGTTGGCATCATCAGTTTCCCAATCACATGGCCATAACCTGGTGGGAATCATTATTCCCGATGAAATTCCATTAAAAGTGCCATAATAGGATTCGAAGTTGAAATCAATGCTAGAATTCAATTAGAATTCATCAAGATCCAATTAAAATCCATTAAACCTGCCATAAATTTGGGTAACCCCATTGACAAATACCAAGGACCCCGTGATCGACAGCCTCGTTGGAAATCACGACTTGGTGACCTTTGAGGATGCTGATTTTCCAGCTCGCAAGCTCTCAAATTACCAAAAGGCAGTGGGAAAATGAACTAAATCCTATGAAAATAGTGGTTAGTTATGACTGTTAAATCCTATAAATTAGATTTGTTTATCACTACCCTCTGGTAAACATACAACAAACTATGGGAAATCACCATCTTTAATAGGGAAATCAACTATAAATGCGCCATGTTCAAATAGCTATGTTAAATTACCAGAGGGTAAATATACATCCAAATATCCACTTTGTTGATGATTCTCATATGAAAATAGTGGTGGTCATGGGGGTGGTAAAATGGTTATGACTAATTATGGAACATTGATGATATTTATCAACAATGATTTGAATGGTAAGATTTTAGTCCTGACACATTAACCATCAATTAAATGGTCCCAAGTATCAATTCAATTGATGATTCTTCCACGACACTTGTGGGTACTGATTGAAAACATGAATAACAACTGGAATATCGTGAAAAAATGAATGATATGTGAAGTGAACTGATTTTCCCGTCTAACTCGATATTCTGATCAGACTTTTCGTCCTGGTAGGAGCTGAAAGACAAGCTCCTCCCGAAGCGACAAGCGCGACGCAAATGATCCGGACGTTTCCAGGTCGCACCCAATTGGAACCGTCCGGAAACTCTCAGAATCACGGTCAACTTGGGTGATGGTAGCTTAGCATGCTTAGCTTCTTTTGAATCATGTGATTTGGAAGACTGACTTGAAGATTTGCTATACATCTCTATTCAAGATGCAGGCTCGGAAAGACGAAGAGGAAAGAGGGTTTTACGAAATTGCTTCGATCGCATCACTCCGGGTTTCCAAATTGAATGGGCACTGCTTACCATGGACGATGGTTTCGAAGGGCAAACTACCGCAAATTTAGATTGTTGAATCAAACAATGTTAAACATTTTACAATGATCGTTCATAAACATTGATCAAGGGTCATTGAATTACAACAATGCATTTGCAATCCGGGGCGGTTCCTTGCAACAAACATCAGTCCTGAGGTTTGACATGTGGACGAATTCCGGCCGCAAAAAAGATTGCGGGCTTGTCCACCAGCTCTTGGAGGATTTTGGTGAAAAAAATCAAGGGACGAAACCTGGAAAGGTCTTAGCCTTGAAAGTTTTTTGTGTTCGTTTTGGATATGGTGGATATGGCCATTTTTGGAAATGTGGTCAACTCAATTTTCTACGAACGAAATTCCAAAAAAGGACATCCACCTTGGGTTTGTGATGTTGCAAGTCGAATTGTTTTTGGGAATTCGTCAGGTCATACCCTTGATGAATTCATCGAACCACTATGCATCCCTTGGATCCCTGTCCTCTCCCGTCCGACAGTGCAACTACTTTGGCTTGTGAGGATTTCTCCAAGTCAGGGCCCAGGGCTCTCTTTTGTGAATTGACCTCTTCGAGATATGTTTTGACAGAGAATTGGCTCAATCCCAAAGTAAACCCGCAGAGATTGGCTCAACGGGCAAACAGCGCCCCCGCATTCCTTTGGCAACAGCTCCGTTCCGCATCGTTGGCGACTTGGCTACGGTCACGAAGAGAGCCACGGATTCCCATACGTCCCATGCAGATGATAGGTGCGCAACAAACCTTCAAACAAAATGAGAGCTTCCTGTTATGGTCCTTTGTTCCTCCCAAATTCTTGATGGATTTCATATTAACTTAGGTTTTTTACACTCGCGAAGCCAAAGTTCAGCCCCGGACAGGCATCATGGGCGACCAACATCAAGTCCATGTGTGGGAGAACACCTACATCATGCAGCCCAAGGTGGGCCGGATCGCTGTGGTTCTGGTGGGAAATCAAGTTTGAAATCTCCAGCACCCACACCATATACGTTTTGGGTCCGCTTCACAGGACAATGAGAAGATGCTGCCTTCGAAAGTCACTGCGGTGATCAAGAACGTCATGGAAAGCTACTTGCAGGTGCTGGGTGGACATTGGCGGCCATCATGCAGTGATCCAAAGATATGTTTCATGCGCCCAACTTAGATGCTTTCATGAGATGACGGAATTGTAGAGGTTAATTACTTCCTGTGTTCCTCCAGGTTTGCTGATTGGAGATGGTAAGGATGACATGGTTTCCTTGAATCCATTTTTGTACATACAGTAGAGAAAAGCCTTTATTAGCCCGTGGCAAATCCCATTTAAACCACATAAGTCCCATCTTTAAGTCCCCATTGCTGCATGGCCCATCATGGCTTCCATAGCCGCTATCAGGACAAGGAGTATGCCGCTGAAGATGCCAAAGCGTGGACATTGGACTTGAGCAATGAAATCAAGGTGGGGATAAAACAGGAAGAAAAAAACATGGAATTGGTTTATTACACACGTGGGTTTTCATGGGTGTTCATGGGTTTTCTGTAGATCATCTTTGGATGAAGGGAACTTCTGGAACTCTCAACTTTGCTGGCTGCTGCAGCTGCGGATACAAGTAAAGCTTTAACAGTTTTGATATGGCACAATTCTAAGCAGCTTTGACAGCAGCCCATCAAACATCAAAATACCTGGTTGCAGGGCCCACTGGTGGGTGGTCGACAAGTTTTGCAAACGTCATACAAGCAGCCAACTTCACAACAACCTTTCCAATTCACTAAGGAATCCAAGGTTATGTCGGTTATGTGTCATCATTGTGAGATTCAAAATCAACCTCGCCGCGACGCTGAGGCCTCCGTCAAGCAGGATTTGAACATCCCACGATATAAGATCATTGTGCAGGCCTGGAGCTGGCCCGATCAGCCCCGGATTCGGATTCCTTCTTTTCGCGCGTGACCCTGCCATGAAACCATGGATGGCCAGGTGATTATTGGAGAACAGGCATCGCAGGTGGGGCCATGATTTCGCGGTTTGAAAATATCTGATAACTATGGGGCTAGAAATCCGGATATGTGTAAATATTGATTTATACCATGTATTTAAGTGCATACATTGGTTTGCATAGACCGGTGGACCAGATAAGATAAGTTCAGCTCCGTCAAGTTAAGATAGATAAATAGATAGGTTGATAGTAAGATGGATAGATTGGATAGATAGAGTAGATTGGCTAGGTTGGATTAGATTGGCAGATAGGTAAATAGATAGATAAATTAGATATAAATAGATACATAAATTAAATATGGACAGGTATGTTAAATATAGATAGAGAGATAGATAGATAGATGGATAGATAGATAGACAGACAGACAGATAGACAGATAGATAGATTAGATGGATAAGATGGATAAGATGGATAAGATGGATAAGATGGATAAGGTATACAGGATGTAAAGGATAGAAAAGGTAGATAAGATAGATGTGATAGATTGGATTAGATTGGATTTGATTCGATAGATAGACAGATAGATGATACATCGATTGATAGAAAGATTGATGGATAGATAGTGATTTGATTGATTTGATTGATTGATTGATTGATTGGTTGATTGATTAGTTAGATTAATTAGTCAGATTGATTAGTGAGCTAGACTAGTTTGATAGTTTACTCAGTTATAGTTGGCTACTTTGTTTGTTTGTTAGCCAGATAGATGCATGGGTACATGGATTCATGGGTTCATGGATTCATGGGTTGATAGAGTCATAGATTCATAGATTCATAGATAGATAAGCTAGATTAGCTAGATTCAATAGATTAGATAGATTAGATAGCTAGCTTAGGTGGATAGATTGATAGATACATGATAAATACATGATAGATACATAATACATACATTATAGATATTTGATAGATACATGATACATACATTTTAGATATTTGATAGATACATGCTAGATACATTATAGATACATTATAGGTACATTATAGATACATTTAGAGATATATTGATAGAAACATAGATAGACACATGACAGATAGGTAGATACATACATAAAACATAGACAAAGATTGCTAGATTGATAGTTACATAGATTCATGTTTACATAGATTCGCTAAATTACGTTGATTCGATAGATACGTGCATAGATACATACATAGCTACATAGATACATAAAAAGATACATATATAGATACATAGATAGGCACATCGATATGTAAATATATTGATGGGTTGATAGATGAAATAATGTCAACTGAGCCATGGTGCCTTGGAATCCTCATGAATCCATGTTGCCACAGGGCATCCGTGTGGCCTCCAAGTGCCTTTGGGATGTACTCCGTGGCACGTTTTCTCCGTGACTGTTGGGCTTCTGTGAGGTTTCTGTGGAGATCAAGTTACCTCTGTCTATAAAGTGGCGAAAGTGGGCCGGGTGATGCTGTGAACAGAGTACTGATTGGGTTTTGATCCACATATTTGTTGGGTTCCCGTTGGGATGATGATCCAAAAAGATTTACATTTGAAACGACCAGGGGCTGACTTTAACATCATGCCATGATTGTTTTGCTTTAGAAATAAGTTGGCTCGGGTATAGTTTACAGTACTGGTCCTGAGGTTTTGGTTCTTTAAGCCACGTGAGGATCACATCACCATCGCGTCCCGCCAGGTGAATTCGGATAATTGGGCCTCGCACACTTTCCAGAACCAGTCGCTCTTTGCCGTAGGCCTGCCGGCAATTGCACAAGAAACGGGCCCATATCTTTTCAGCCAATCCCATACACCTGCATGGCCTCTTTCTCTTTGGGACAATGAACAGTTTTGGGTTTAAATTGCACTATGTGTGGAAAAACTTACTGTTGCGTAGCATAATCCTACTTGATCGACATTCATTGCTCATGCATGGCAATCCTTGAACAACAAACGGATCGAAAAGGAAGATGGGACTATACAATCCAACAGGAACGTCATAAGTTGCAGTTAGATCCATAGCTATGCCCACTGGTGGGCAACCTCCCAGGCATGGTCTTCGGCTGCTACTATGAGTAGATGACCCAGGTTGGGACGGAGGACCATGGAGGACCCCCTAGATCCATCCACTGTGGTCAGAGCCCACTTTTTTCGATGGTGTTTGCCCCTTTTTGGCGATGGTGGCTTTCATTTGAAAAAACTTTGATTGAAATATTCAAAATGCTTCATGAACCGGCCCCAATCCTGTACCTCCATCGTGCCAGACAGCCTCTGAGCGCTTTGTTTCACATGCTTGTACACCGCGAGGCTGGAGACGTTGACATCAAGGATTTAAAGTATGGCAAAAAACGGATGGTGTACCCAGAAGTTAGTTAGCACCTTTAAATCCAGTGGTTTATCATCAAAAATCCAGGTTGCCACTTTGGAGTATGCGAATGTTTGGTCAAACCCAGCGCCAAAGATCAATTGCAGAAGCTAAACTCGGCAGCGGCAGAGAGCCTTCCTGCGGTGCATTCTGTGTCATGAGACTGTCGCGAATTCGACGTGCCGTGCTGGACAGCACCCAAAAAGAGTCCCGGAACGAGAGCCGTGTTTCCTGCTGATCACGTCCGAATGCTTCTTACTTTGATGATTCTTATTTTGATGATGATGATGATGATGATGATGAATCACGGCCACGGTTGAGTGTTGGGTAGAATAGTAGAAATACTATAATGTTATAGTGTTGCACTTGGGAGGACGCTCAGCCGACGCAATGTTGTCAGCCCCATGTCGCAGCGGCCAAAGAGCCCCACTTCCTTTTCACCAACAGTGAGACTCACGCCTCTCAAAACATACTTGTCCTCCAAGCCCCTGAATACTTTGAACCCTGCCCTAGAGAATCGTCTTCTCCACCAGCGGATTGAAACCACGTGTGGGTATGCCCCAAGAATTGAGTAGAACTCACCCACCAAAATAGGCGAGCCAAAAAATGATAGCCATAACGCAGTCGAAAAAGGTGACAGTTAATAGCACACAAGGATGATATATATATATATAACTGATCCTACCTATCTTAAACTCAATGGGAACTCCAGGATCCTGAAATGGAGGTACTGTACCATATAAGGCCATATTTTGGGAGTACATCCCCTTACATAGGCCTTACATAGGCCTTATATAAGGTAGGTACCTCCAATTTAGGTTCCTGAAATGGCCATTGGTAAACTGATCATTTGTTTCCAGATCCTGGGTGCCAATCTCCAAAAACTACCCAGGGAACCCAAAACCAACAGGTCAAGTAGCCGGGTGTGCCATGGGCGCTTGCAGCTGTCAACCCCAATGCATGCCTCGTGCTGGTGCTTCAGCACCTTGGGTAGCGAGATATGTTTCTTCATTTCTTGGAAACCCATGTTGGAATCTAAGTTGTGTTCCATTCTGTGTTATGCCAATGTGTTGTTTATGTGTGTTTTCTTGTGCATTGTATGTTATGTGGTGTTTGTTCATTCATGATTGTTGTAGATGCTGGATATTGAGTAGGACCTGCTGGTGCAATTCAGATTGATGGCTGCATGAACTACCTCACCAGTCGTAAGCCAGATCTGGACGTAGCTGCAACTCATTGAGAGTAGGGTGGCTAAACAGACACAAACCGTCGCCCGTTTATCCAATTTCACCAATTGGAGCCTCTTAAAGAATAGCAAAACAGTGATTACCCCAAAAAAGATGTGTTCTTATTTTGGCTTCACCTTTTGGAAGCTTCCCACCGCAGGAACCACTGAAGGCCCCTAGCTGTTGGCAAAGCCCCAAATCCACCGTGGACGTCATCGACCGCATGGCCGTGGTTACGCCCAATCCGCTGTGCGTGGCGGCGAATTTGGAAGATTTGGAGGGCGGCTGGTGCCTCGTGGGAAACCATTTGGACGTGCCTGACAATGGTTTTTTTACCCCCAAGTGCCCAATTTTAATGGTGAAAATGCTGATTAACCATTGGCATGGCAATATCTTATTTTCAAAGGCATGTATTGGTTTCAACTGATGGGCTTTGAATCGGTTTGGGATGTATTGTTTTAATCATTGGATCACTGGGGTATTTTGTACCTGGATGCCATGTTGCCATACGCTTTCCTTTTCAGCTTTTCTTCAGATGAGATTGGTCATAACTTATAACCAATGATATCTCACCAAAAGTTCTCTATATATATATCAAAGCTATCCAATACGGGCGCCCTCCCATGATTGGTTTCAATCCCAAGTTGTAGATTTTATAAATGGCCAACATGTCCATTTGTTGATCATGTGGGGTGTTGGCTCAGGTTCCGGAAATTAGATGGAAAGGCAGTGGGTGAGCTGCACGAGGGGCAACTCATTTGGAACAAACGTTGGGGGATGGACGATGCTTCCACAGATGCTCGGTCTGGAAATGGACCCGAAAAGGGGTTGTGTGCTCTGGTGATCTGACGTCTACGCTGACCAAAAATTTGTGTTGAACCACACACAGTCGTTTTCAACCAAGGCTTTCATGCTTCAATCAAGGGAAGAGGTCCTGTTTCCCTTGTCATTTGCCTGTATGGCAGTTCCCTTGTTTTTCAGTGCGTTCTCCCAAAGCCATAGATGTAGGGTTGGCGCAAAGGCCACATGTTTCGGTGAGATTTTCTCGTGGGCACCCTACAATGCTGCATGGGTTCCCCTGGGGTGACAGCTCGAAGGATCTCTTCGAGATTGCCCCTGGAGCGCCTTGGAGTCTGAAGACGTTGGAGCGGGCACCATGGGTTGATAAAAGCGGGGCCGATTCATTTTTCTTCACAATCAGCTGTTTTCTGACCTTTCTAGCAGGGCCCAGTGTCACCAAGTATGGTCTGAAAGGGTCTGTTTCGTTCTTTCCGGGTAAAATCAAAACATAGCAAAATCCTGCGATAAGGCGTTGATTGAAGGCGCATACACACTTTAAAGGGCTCCCAGGGTCATCAATTTTGGTGGGTCAACGAGGATCAGGGTCTTGGGGGACCTTGAAAACCAGGCTGCGTCACTGGAGGTGCTGGAGCTCCAACTCCGAGGCTTGAAATATTACGGCACCATCTCCAGGGAAGCGCAGGCGCGCACTGGGCGAGACCTGGGCTGCCGGTTTCAGTGATGTTATTTCCTGCCAGGTGAGGGTCTCTAAATTTACTCACTGTGTCACTCATGCATTCACTCATCTGCCTCATCCTTTACTCGGATGGTTCATCCTGCGCATAAGCCCATGGCAAGCTGCACGGCAGTCTGGAGAAAGAATTTCAAAAATCATTGCAAACAGAATGCGTAGCAAGGGTTCCCGTTTCACTCTGGGGGTCTGGGGGTTGGCTCGACGGCGCGCAACTGTTCGCAACTGTTCGCAACCGTTCGCGTGAGGTCGCTATGGCCGTGCCTCTGGCGAGTTCTGCAAAAATTGTCATGTTTGGAAGTTTTTAACGTCGCGTAGCCTTGTTTTGCGTGGCAGGCGTGTCACTTTATGACATCCCAACATGTTTCATAATGTGTCCAAAGTCGTTTTGTAAGGCAGGCACAATACTTTTGCATCGTTTTTAGAAGATGCGTTGCGTTTTTCGTGGCAGGCGCAGCACTTTAGAGACCTCCATCGTCATTTCGCGTGGTAGGCGCAACACTTTAGACGTGTTGTGTGGCTCGTTTTTTTGTGAATCGCATTGTCAGGGCTGCGTCAAGTGCTGACAACGTGCAAATTCCGCGGCAGGCGTGGCATTTTGTGATATGTGCTGAAAATTGACGGAAGCCTCGCACGAAGCATCTATTTTGAGGCAGCTGAGTTTCGGCTTCGTTAGGAAAACTCGTAGGCAAACGTTGATTTTGAGATACAAAGTTTGAAAATTTGAAGAAGTCTCGCACGAAATGCTCGTTTTGATGTTGCAACATGTCTCGTCTGATTCTCTGGTTTTCTTGTGGCATCGCCGTGTCTGTGGGGGAAGCTGCAAAACCTCTCCTTTTCGAACGTATCAAAGCTGGTTGTAATGTCATTTTGCGTGGCAGGCATGGCACTTCCTGACATTCTCATGTGTCTGCAAACGTGTCCAAAGTCGTTTTGTGTTGCAGGCGCAATACTTTTGCGTCGTTTTCAGAAGATTACTTGCATGTTTCGTGGCAGGCGCAGCACTTTGGAGACCTCTGTCGTCATTTCGCGTGGTAGGCGCAGCACTTTGGACGTGTCGCAATGCGTGTTTTTTGCGAATCGCATTGTCAGGGCTGGTGACAACGTGCAAATTGTGTGGCAGCCGCGGGGCATCGTGAGAGTGCCATTTTGCGTGGCAAGGATGTGGCAGGGGCAGTATTTGGCGCAAATCTGTGGAGTGTGGGATGTAACTTTGCGTCGCAGGCGCAGTATTTGGGACACACTATACTGCACACTTTATACCCCACACTCTACACTCCACACTCTACACTTTACACTTGACACTCCACACTCTACACTCCACACTTTACACTTCAAACTTTAAACTCCACCATCCACCCTTTGCACTTTACACGTTAAACTCCACACTTTACACTTTACACTCTACACTTGACACTTTACACTCAACAGTCCACACCTTACACGCTACACTTGACACCCCACATCCTACACTTTACACTTGAGACTCCGCACTCCATACTTTACACTCCACACTCTGCACTTTACACTTTACACTTCACGCTTCGCACTCCACACCCCACACTTTACACTCTACACTTTACACTCAACACTCTACACTCCACACTCCACACTTTGAACTTCACACTCCACACTCTGCACTGTACACTCCACACTTTGAACTGTACACTCCTCACTTTACACTTTACACTCCACACTTTGCACTTACACTCCACACTCCACACTTTACACTCCACACTTTACACTTTACGCTCCACACTCGGCACTTTACACTCCACACTTTACACTTTACACTCCACACTTTCCACTTTACACCTCTTTACACACCACGCTCTACACCTTAAACTCCATACCTTACACTTTACACTCCGGGCTTCACACGCAACAATTCACACTTTACACTTTACACTCTACACTTGACACTCCACACTTTACACTTGAGACTCCACACTCCACACTTTACACTCCACACTCTACACTTCACACTCTACACTTTGCACTCAACACTTTACTCTTCACACTTTACATCCGGCACTGTACACTTTACACTCCACAATCCCCACTTCACACTCTACACTGTACACACTACATTCTCCACTCAACACTCCACTTTCTTCACGCTCCGTGCTTTGCGCTGCACCACATTGCACATTCCACAGTCTACAATGCCTTGTACAGAAACAGGGGGAAATGCACAAGACTGTTCAGATAACTTGTTTCACAAAAATGTTCTACGTGACTGCATTCGGGTTCGCGGGCTGCATGTTGTTCCTGCCAGGTGAAGGTCTCTAGATTTACTCACTGGGTCACTCATGCACTCACTCATCTGCCTCATCCTTTACTCGGGTGGTTCATCCTGCGCAAAAGCCCATGGCAAGCTACACGGCAGTCCGGAGAAAGAATGTCAAAATAGATGGCAAACAGAACGTCAGAAAGAATGCCAGAAAGAACGTCAGAACATATGTCAGATAGAATGTCAGAATTTATGTCAGATAGACAAATAGAATATCAGAATGCCAGATGAAATGTCAGATAGAATGCCAGGAAGGATGCCAATCAGAATGTCATATTTTTGGGGGGATCACTCGAAGAAAGTAGTTTTCCCATTCTTTTTTCCAATGCTGTTAATTAGAAGGTTTCGGATCCGGGTTGCGGCTTGCAAGTCTAAGGCTTCCATCACCTGGAATGATGGTGATGTATGGGTCCGGAAGTGACCGGCGATCCCAGATCTCTGCCAGCACGCAGCCAAGCTGCGTGCAATGCTTCGCGCACCACCCTGAGGAACAGCACGCCATTTTTTGACACATCTATGTTGCCCTGTTGGGGCTCTCCAAGCGCGCAACCATCCATATCAACGTCGACAGCCCGTTGCATTGGTTTGCAATTTTTGTAGCAAAATTTCAGGATTCCTGCTGTCCTGTTTATTAGCCAGGTGGTGACGTAGAAAAGCCCCTCCCAACTGTAGGTTGCCACAAATTTTGGGCAACATTGCTCAGTGAGAATGCTTGCACAAGTCGGCAAGATGATCCGTGAAAAAGATCTTGGAGCCTTGGGCGCGAGACTTAGGAGGAAAGCTCTTGGGCAAATTACAAGCGCTTGTTCAATTGTAAATCACTTTGATAAGTAAGTGTTTCCTTGAGGTCTGGAAAGCCCATTGCATATTGTAGAGTAATAGGGCCCCTCCAAAAGGACATGCCTATAATATACCAGTAGTACCGCACAAGGCGGTGGCGGAAGTTTCAAAGATAGGAAACAATAGGAGAGGTGAGTTGTTGTGATGCATGGATGGCAGAGCGAATCCACTGATGGACCGAAAGGTGGCTGGAGTTGTGCTTTTGGAGTGGTTGCAGGATGTAGTGTGGTCTAGTGTAGCGTAACGTAGTTGTAGTTGTAGTGCAGTGTAGTTGTAGCTGTACTTGGCGCTTTTGTAGTTGTAACGTTTTCGTTGTAGCTGGAGTAGTTGTTGTAGTTGTTGTTGTTGTTGTAGTTGTAGTGTAGTCTAGTGGTCTGTAGTGTGGTGCAGTGGAGTGGTGCGCAGAGCTGTAGCTGTAGTTGTAGTTGTAGTGTGGTGCAGGGTAGAGGAGTTGTAGTTGTAGTTGCAGTGGCAATTGCGGTTGCAGTTGTGTTTGCAGCTGTAGTGTCGTGTAGTAGTTGTAGTTGGGGTTGGAGTTGGAGCTGAGATTGGAGTTGGAGTCGGAGCTGGAGTTCGAGTTGTAGTGTAGTGTGGTGGTAGTTGTGGCTGTAGCTATTGCTGTTGTAGTTGTGGTTGTAGCTGTAGTTGTAGTTGTGGTTGTTGTAGTAGTACTTGTTGCTGTAGTTGTTGCAGCTGTTGTAGTAGTACTTGTTCTTGTTGTTGTTGTTGTTGTTGTCGTTGTCGTTGTCGTTGTTGTTGCTGTTGCTGTAGTGCAGTGTAGCGTGGCGCAGTTTAACGCCCAAATGTGGTCCCAACGTGGTGTGCTTTTTGCATTTTGACTTCGAGACGTGCTTCGCGCCACAACGGTGTGCACTTTTTCAACACCCCAATTTCCAAAGTGGGCCGAGACACCCAGTTTTCAACACTTTAACTTCGAAATGTGCTTTGGGCCATTGCCGCGTACACTTTTTTAACATCTCAACTTTGCCCCGAAGCTGAAGCCTTTTTCGCATTTTGACTTGGCAATGTCCTTCGCGCCAAAACGCCGCAAAATTTTTCAACGCCTCAACGTTCCAAAAGTGCTCCGAACCTGGTGTTTTAACTTGGAAATGTGCTTCGCGCCACAAAGCCGTGCACTTTTTCAACATCTCAACGTTCAAAAGTGCTCCGAACGCGGTCTGCTTTGCCGATTTTGACTTCCAAATGTCGTTCGTTCCAAAATGCCGTGCATTTTTTGAACATCTCAACTTCCAAAAGTGGTCCGAACATGTGGTGCTTGTACCCTTTTGACTTCGAAATGCGCTTCGCGCCACAAGGGCGTGCAATTTTTCATCTCTCATCCCGCCAGATGGCTCCGCACCCGCCGCTTTAGCGAGCCTACTTTTCGACCCTCCGGGGCCACAAATCGTTGGGAAAGGAAAACGGTTTGTAATTAATTTCGGGAGGCAGGAAAAGGAAAGAAAGAGGAAAGGTAAATTAATAAAAGGGACAAGAAAAAAGAAGATAAGGAAAAGGAAGGGAAAACGAAATAATAGGAAAAAGGAAAGGAAAAGGAGGAAAAAAGAACGCAAAAAGAAAGTAAGAAAGAGAAAAATATCACTAGTCTGAGCCATTTTTCAAAATATATA